CGCACCCACATGCACCTGCCATGCATTTGAGGCTGCCAGGTCCAGGACCCAAACTCCAGTTAGCAGTAGGAGTCCAGTGATGTAACCATTCCGCCATCTGCTGGTTCAAAAAAAAAGTTGACTTCTTGAGGACACACTTTCATGAATTGGTTAAGAGCTTTACATACACTTTCTTATATAATCCTCTGAACAACCCAGGGAGGTTGGCACTATGCCTGGTTTTCAGATGAAAGATTAAGTCTTAGAGAGATGAAGGACTTTGCTCAAACTCACAAGGCTAAAAAGTGGAGGTGAAATTAGGACTTTAACCCATTACCATCTAACAACCAAGCTTGTCCCTCACCCACGAAGATGTGCTGTTTCCCTACTCTTCTTCCAATGCAGTTCAAAAAGTGTTGAAGAGAAGTGGTCTGTAAGAACAAAATCAGTTTTCTCATTGAAAAATTATTAAAGGATAGACAGAAGACTTTTAACCAAAGAACTGATATTAACTCTTTCATAGGAGCTATTGAGACAGACTACAAGATTGTTTTTATCCTGGGCCAGCAGGTGGCATGGTGGCTAATGCACTGGACTCCCACATGGCCATTATTTGAGTCCTGGACCTGGTGGCTTTAAAATCATGCTAGGTGCGAGTGTGTGTGTGTGGGTGTGTGTGTGTGTGTGCCCAAGGTCCCAGAAAAACGGAGGGGAAAGGGATTGCAGTGTGACCATCCCTCAGGGGAAGTGATTTTTCACTGTCTCTCCTTGTCTCTCTCTGGTGAGCGCACTTACCCTATGGCAAAAATCTTGCCCCCCCCCCAAAAAAAGATTGTTTTCATCCACTTATCTTGGACAAACATTCCTAGCTAGTGGCAATGCCAGGCTGCCTTCTTGTCAAGTCCGATGCTTCATAATAAACAAATGTTTGCTCAGGTTCCCAGCTATGCTTTTATAGTACTTAGAGAGGAAGATGAAACAGGGAACTGAGAAGTCCTTTTCTTTCTGTTTCTCAGCGTGTAGGAACAGGGAATGGAATTCCACATCCCTGATTCAGTCTTTGGCATTGCTCTGGGAGTGTCTGCCTGGATTTATACTGTAATGCAGGCAGTGGTAGTAAAGGCTCAGGTGGATTGCAAGCCACCATTAAAGGGAAAGTGCACCTCTAAGCCTGTGGCCCTGCTGAGGCACCCTAATCCACAGAAAGAGGCAGCTTGCCCTAACAGTATGTGGTCTTAAAGAAAAACAAATCAGTCTTTTTCCAGCTGGGCTTCACGCTTGTTTAGAGCAAGATTTCTCCAGCAGCTCATTAGTGACATTTTGGATGGATAACTGTTGAGGGGCTGTACTGTGTATACTGCAGTGTGTTTATCAAGTGCCTGGGCCTCTGGCCACTAGATGCCAGTAGCACCTTTTCCCCTTTACTCCCCTTCCCCAACATAGTGACACCAAAAGCATCTCCAGAAATTGCCAAACATCCTCTGGGGACCAAAGTGCTCCCTTGCCCCTATTGTGAAGCACTGATTTAAACAAAGAAAGTCCTATCACAAAGTCCTTCACTGTGTGAAGGGTCCAGTTATAATAATAGGGAGAAGACAGAGCCAGCAGGTGGCATGGTGGTTGAGGTATTGGATTCCCACATGGCTGACCATAGTTCAAGTCCCATACCTGGTGTCCTGAAAATCATAACAAATAAATAGATAAATAAATAAATGTTAAAAAAAAATAGGGGAGAGTCAGGGAGGGAGAAAGATGAAGTGAATATGTAGATTTCAATATTTTTCTTTGACTAAATATGATAAATATGAGAGGAATTTTTTTCTTTGACTAAATATGATAAATATGAGAGTAATTTAAAAAGTTTATGCGAAAATAGAATTAAAGTATACACTTATTTTGGTACAAATAATACCGAAATCCATGCATAGTTTTTTTTTTTTTTTTGAGAGGTTTTTTGCTATAGGACACATGTGCTCGCCAGAAAGACAGAGAGAGAAAGAGAAACAGAAAGCAGAAATCACCCCCTGGGGGGGATGGCCACGTCTCAATCCCTTCTCCTCCATTCTCCTCTTGGGATCTTGGGCACGCACGCACATGCAGCTGGCGTGAGTTTGAGCCACCAGGTCTGGGACTCAAACCACAGTCGACTACATGGGAGTCCAGTGACGTCAATAGCCATTATGCCAACTGCTGGTCCCCCGTGCATAGTTTTTTCATCTGTGTTTCCTGTGAAGTTCTGGAAGACTTCTCATATATTTAAGGGGGAAAAAAAGCCAGGCTGTTTCATATGTAATATTGACTGTCTGGCCTTTTGCTTGCAATTTATAGATGAGATTTAATAAAGAAACTACAGCGTATCAGTTCTTCACCCAGAACTGACCCATAGAGATGAATTTCCTTTCAAAGGATTTGGGTTAATTTAGTAGCCTTGAACAAGAACTGATCCAAGCAAAGGTATCTGAGTGACATTATACTGTCACCACATTTTTGCTTCATTCATATTGTTCTACATTTTTAAATTTGAGATCTTAATCTTATTTTTTACTATTTAAAAGAAAGGGGATCAGCAGATGGCATAACGGTTACATTGCTGGACTACCATGTTGTTGAGTGTGGTTTGAGTCCTGGATCTGGCAGCTTAAAACTGAAGCCATGCAAGTATGCATGCCAAAAGTCCTGAGAGGAGAATGGAGGAGAAGGGAATGCAGCATGGCCATCTCCTGAGGGGAATGGGTGATTTCTTGCTTTCTGTCTCTCTGCTTCCCTCTGTCTCTCCTACGAGTCCACACGCCCTATATCAAAAACCTCTCTACAAACAAAACAAAACAAAAAGAAAGGATGAGGGACAGAGGAAGACGCCAGGCTGTGGTGGGTGATGTGAGAGGCAGGGAAAGGGGAGCCATGTCAGCCTGGGAGTGAGATGAGACCTATGAAGGATCCACTGAAGATGTCTCCGTTGACACAATAAACCATGATTTGAAAGACTGAAGACAGATGGAAGTTTTTGTAGACTGACTATTGATGTAAGGGACAAGGACATCACATTGCAACAAGTCTACGGCCCGTCCTTTAGCAAAAATCTGTAACCACAGAATAAATGATCTTATTGATAAATAGTTTAACACTGCAGGCTATAAGAAACAAGAAATGGAAAGTTACTTGTTGATGATAACATGTATGGTAATATCCTTGATTGAGTCAATAAGCAACGTATTCTGGATGGAAAATCTCGTTTTGTATACTGTAATGATGCACAGTGAACTAATGTCAAGAAATAAATTTAAGAGGAAAAAAAAGCAAAAAAACAAAAACAAAAACAGAACACTGCAGGCTATGTTTCACTGGAGCGAGTTATGCAAACAATTTAAAATGACAATAAAATTCAGTTTATAACCCAGGAAGTCCAGCTATGTTTATTGAAAATGTATGCATTTCATTAGGAGAGACAGGCTGCCTTTTTCTCATGAGTGTAATGGTAAAAGCTAATTAAATTTAGCATAAACTGAATCCTTAACATATGTTCCCAAGTTCATTAGTTTGTAATCTAAACAGCTACATGACATGCACAATAGCTAATGTTAACAATTTTCTAAACTCCAGAGCTTCAATTGCTTATTCACCAATTCCCTGTGTGTGTGTGTGTTTTAAAAGAATCAGAAGCACATACTCTAAAAATGTAAGGTGCTGGGTAAACTAAAAGGAGACCAAAAAAAAAAAAAAAAGGAAAGAAATTACTGAATTGGATTTTCTATAGGAACGCAGTTGCATTGCGATGTAGCAGGCCTACAAATTCTGGAAATACTTGTTTTTAATATTAACAGTGTTATCTCAGTCAGCTGCATCATAATTTCACAGAAAAAGAATTCCTTTGTCTCATTTATTAAAATAGAAAAACCTTTTCAGAGAGTAACTAAATCTGATGAAAGATAAAACTGAGGAGACCTGAGGTTCTTCTCTTCCTTGGTGCAAGCTTTTGCCTCTGGTTTCTATGGTAACCTATGATCTGTATTCCAATCACACCTTTAAAGGGCTTGTTTTCTTCACATGAAAATTTAGCCAGAGGCACCGAAGGTACTAAACATTAATTTTATGTTCTCTTTATTTTTAATTGAAAAAAGGTAATACAGAAAGATGATAACACCAATGATCTTATCATGCAAATACAATAGAACCTAAATTTTCTGGTTTTAAGATGATTTACATGCCTGAAAGATCACAGGGATAAAAAACCTGAATGCCAAATAGATCACTACTCAACTTCTCTAATAAACAGTAAATGTCTTGAGCATAAAACTGCAAATATTTATCTAATTTGAGAGGTTAAAAAGCCCAAGACATGCAGCTCAAGGTTTAAAATGTTATAGCCCAATGGTTTCAACCTGAAGTCCTTTTGCCCCCCTTGGTGACATTTGGCAATCCATGGAGGCATTTTTGGTTGTCACAACTGCTGAGGATGGGTGGTGATGGTGGTGGCGGTGGTGGGTTTTGTGTGTGCGTGTGCATGTGTGCAGGGTACCATCAGCTAACTACTGTTAACATCCTGCAATGAACAAGACAGCCCCTTCACAGCAGAGAATTACCACACCTAAAGCAGGAGATTGACAAGTTGACCATCTAGCTTGAAGAAAATCAATGTTCAGATGAATCCAACGCTTTGAAAACAACCTGTTCTTGAACTGTTCTTTTTGTATCTATTTTCACTTAAATGCAAAAAGAGAGGTCAAGAAAACAAACCAAAGGAAAAAAAAAGCCCGCATTAAATTTATAATAGTACGTTGTGATTAAAATTTGGACATTTCTAGCGTGCGTGCCTTCATCTAACTCATCTAACTTGGAGCGGCCTTGTAGAAGCTGTCCAC